CTGTCCTCTTTCGATTAGTACTGGACAGATTATCATTATCACAGACAGAAGAAGAGAGGCTGATCCGGGGCTGGGCAATAAAACAATTATCATGACATAATTTTCCTTAATAATTATAAAACAAATGTTTAATAAGTTTAATAAATGTAATTATTTATTTAATTCATTTGATTCACGAACAAATTAGCACTTTTAAGATATCTATTTTGTTGAGGACTGAAAGGGGACTAAAAAAAAGATTTTACTTAATTTTACTAATCACATTTGCAGATAAAATATTTTATCATGGTAGTTTTGAATGTTCTCCCTCAGATTTGTGAAGTGATCCACTGTTTGGCATCAAGTATTTGTTCTGACCAGAAAGAAAAAGTTTAAAAGCACAATTAACCATCTGGATTCTTCAACTTTCACTAAGGAGCAAAAACCAGCCTTTAAACTTGAAAGAAATAATGATTTGACTTTTATCCTGATAATTATAGATATCAAATAATATTTTTAATCGTGATAAAATGTTTGACCCTGGGCTGATCCAGTTTTGTTCTGTGTTATAAAGGCCACCAGAAGGAAGAAAGTTGTCATCAGTGATTAATAATAATAATAATATTAGTGTCTCTTTCCTTTCTGCAGAGTTGTGGGCATTGTTGATTAAACCTTCATGAAAGATAACTAACTAATTGGTGGAATGTAACTATGTACATGTACTTAAGTACACAATTGAGGCACTTGTTCTTTTCATGCCACTTTCTACTTAAAATATTTAAAAAATACTGAAATTTTTACTGACCTACATTGATCTGACAGCTTTTGTTGCTATAAAAATTAATTTTTCTGCACACAAAACACACCAACATGTACAATTATAGCTGAAACAGTCTGAACAATTGTCACATTTGATAACATTGATGTTTGGACACACCAAGCGTTGTGAAGGAGTCACTTGGGCTCTGGGTAAATGTGGTGGCAGAATCTTTACAAACCAAATAAATCGATTGATGGAGTAATTAATCAGCAGATTGATCCAGAATGAAAAGAATCTGAGGAGAGGAGATATAATAGTACAACAGTGAAGTGTCCTTACAGTGTGGTATTAGTACTTTTACTGCAGTAAATGATCTGAATACTGTCCCCACCTCTGAACTAATAGCCTACAATAAATCACCTGATTGATCCCTGGTTCAGATTTTACCTTCAGACCAGATCAAAGCCTGCTGGTCACATGACGCCTCTCACACGCTTGAACACAAATTGATCCTGGGAGGCGCTGCTGACAGAGCAGAATGAACCAAAAATATTGATCAGTTTCATCTCACATTCATTAGCTTTTCTCAAGGACACCGAGGTCACTGCACAAATAATTTACAGTACACATAGTGATGGATTTCTTTTAGGATAACTGTGATATTTATGTAGTAGTGAAGTATCTTAAGACGAAGCCATGTTATTTAGGGATCCAAGCAGCAAAGCTGCTGGAGCCCAATTGTTTTTGTTCTCATTATTCTTTCTTTCTTTCTTTCTCTCCGCTAAAAGTGTTACGAAAGTGAGACGAAAACTCACCTAAATTGGCATGTAGGTTGCAAATTCCACCCACTAAGGCAAAGAAATAGCACTCATAGACCTCATGGTAACAATCAACTTCACATTTTTGCAATTATCTCGAAAACGGCTTTGTTTAGAGTTGAACTTCATTCATTATTTTAATCACTGGATTCCTTTGCATCTTTGTTCCAATGCTCTTTTGCTCTAAAAATGTCAAATTATAAGACTTTTTATCACTTTTCTCTTATCACTTATTTTTGTGAACTTGTCCTAGACGGTTTCACTAATCGACCTGAAAATTTGGCAGGATCATCTACATACACATAGTGATGGATTTCTTTTAGGATAACTGTGATATTTATGTAGTAGTAAATTATCTTAAGACGAAGCCAAGTTATTTAGATCAAAAGTTATCAAAATTATTTTGATACGTCAATCCGTTTTTTTTTTTTCATAAATGTTTAATTTTGTGTCTTTACCTACAATTTTACATAACTGCCCATAAATCAAAATTGGCTTAAGCTGTTGTAACCAAACATGACACATCCGTTCAGGTGCTCGGTGCGAGCTTTGCTGAGCAGTCCTGGATATTCTTCCACTAGGGGGCGCTACACTTGCATAAAGTTTATACGTCATAATTCACTGCATGGATTCGGAGTCTGGCACATGTGACGTACTTCAACTTGTGAGAAAGTGTGCCCAGGTGACCGACTCAGACTGTTCAGATCATAGTGAGTCTAAGTTCTCTATTTTATTTGGATCCCCTGAAACTTTCTTCTTATCTTTCTCTCCCTAAAAGTGTTTGTCTTAAACTTTAAATCATGGAAACACAAAATGTTGCAGGTGGGTTGAACATTTCACCTTTTGTATTCTTATGTAAAAACATTTTAATTGCTTTATGTTCTATGAAAGACATACTTTATTAAAACTATTGTTTGTTGTTATTGTGTTAACCAAAGTGATGTTGGTTATATTTGGTTAGGTCAGAGCTATACAATATTAAAAGATAAATCTTGCTGTACATGACATCTCAGCCTTTCTTATCAGGTGTGTAAAAATCACAGGTTATGAACTGAGGAGCAGGCAGTTATCAGCCATCGGTTTGCTGGGGAAAAAATCCATATCATGCATCACTAGCTACAAACCATTTTACTAAAACCCAACAGTGTATAAAGCACTTTAATTTATTTTAAATGCTGCTTATTAATGAATCAGTATTGTGAAAACTCTGAAGGAGAGTTTTTGCACAATTCATACATTTACTTTTAATACTTAATATGATAATAGATCTTCTGTACTTCTGAGACTGAAAGTTAACGAATAATCTCCCCTCAGGGTCATTTTAGCAGCTGTTCTGGAGCGAGTTTATTTAAGCTACGGTGTTGCCTCTAGGCAACATATCCATTTTTGGGTTAGTACACCTCCACCAAACATCCCAAAATATGCTGTATTACTTTAAAACAGCAGTGTTAAAATTTGTCACATGATTCTCTGGCAACCATTATAAATCCTTTTACTGCTGCCTTTGACACATGGTTCAGCTCCATTTTCTTTCTGGACTAAACTGCACTCAAAACATATTCTTATGCCATTTTTTGACCCAGAAAAATTATATTCACAATAATAGGTGAGTAAAGTTTCATTGTTTAATATATTTTATTTGATAATTGTATAATGGAAAATAGTTAAAATGCAAATGCTGCCTTGAAGCAACATCATACCACGATGGAATCCCGGCATGGCGTTTTTTGGTTTTGTGCATTTAGGTTTACATGAAGGAGGAGGATTTTCTCAGCCCATAAAGGAACATCTCTGGTGCATTCACATGTTCTACGATACTGAGTTCTGAAGTCCTTCTTCTAACGTCAGTGTCTTCATGTGCTTTTAAGTCAGAATGTGGAAACAACATAGACGATACTACAAACATCTGTTGGAGTGTCATGGGCATCAAAGTTTGAAGCTTTCTACACTGAACACAATTATAACACTTTTGTTTTTGCCCCCATTCATCATGAGCTGAACTCAAAGATCTAAGACTCTCTCTATGTACACAAAAGGCCTATTTCTCTCAAATATTGTTCATAAATCTGTCAAAATCTGTGTTAGTGAGCACTTCTCCTTTGCCGAGATAACCCATCCACCTCACAGGTGTGGCATATCAAGATGCTGGTCAGACAGCATGGGGATTGCACAGGTGTATGTAAAACCGTAGTCGGGGACACCCCTACACCAAACACATGAAAAGTTAAAAAAATATGATGTTTTGATATAAATTAAACAGTTTAAGTATAGTTGAATTGATTAGTTGATTGACAGACATTTAATTGGCAACTATTTTGAGGATTGTTTAAGTCATTTTGCATGTAAAAACATTTCATGTGAAGAGTAGGAGCCATATGGGTTGTTTTCCTCCAAGCCACAGGGGGTCTGCACAACACAAACCGGAGTAATGCACATGTCTGCCACATAGTTCTTTCTCTGCAATAGCTGTATTATATTTCTCTATTCTTTTATTATTCTTAGAAAACTTGCATCTGGTTATTCCAATTTTTTAGATATTTCTACATTTATTTATGTCCACTGTATGTTTGTCTACGTGTAGCACCTTATCGCCAAAGCAAATTCCTCATATGTATAAAAACTACATGTGATAAACAAGCTCATTCTGGTTCTGAGTAAACTGCAAACTGTTGGAAAAGACAGGACATTGTTTTTCTGATTACACATTAGAAACGATAATCCAAATTAGCAACCAATAGCGGTATAGGACATATTCACTACATGAAGATTTGCTGCTTTTCCTTGTAATGTATTTTTAATCATTTTGAGGTTTAGACTGACAGAAGCATTGTGAAGGAGTCACTTTGGGCTCTGTGTAACTATTTTTAGATTTCTTTTACAATCAATTAATGAGAAAATAATCAGGAGATTAATCAATCATGAAAATAATCATTAGCTGCGGTTTGATAAATAGTTCAACTTCAACAAATACAGAAAAATCCTGCTTTTACATTAATGTATAAATAATAATGATCTAATGACAAGATATAATGATATATTATATTAATGATATATTTCATTCTGCATTGAGTACTTTTACTTTCAACACTTAATGTACATTTCCCTGATTATACTTACGTACTTTTACCTAAGTAACATTTTCAAGGCAGTACTTTTACTTGTAACAGAGTACTTTTACACTGTGGTATTAGTACTTTTCTTAATTAACATTTTAATACAGTATGTTTACTTGTAACAGAGTACTTTTCATTATGGTATTAGTACTTTTACATAAGTAACATCTTTAATACAGTACTTTTACTTGAAACAGTAATTTACATTGTGGTACTTGTACTTTTAGTTTAGTAACATTTTTAATACAGTACTTTTACTTGTTATGGAGTACTTTTTCATTGTGGTAGTAGTACTTTTACTTAAGTAAAGGATTTGAATACTACCTCCACCATGGCTTTCCTTCGTTCATGCGTCATGTAAGCGACCTTTATTTTGAAGGCGGTCACCGGAAACAGCTGTTGTTTCGTTGTTTATAACTTGACTGCGGCTGCGCTGTGCAGACTGCAAACATGGACGTCACATGTGAGAGAATGACCTGAACATGATCCTCGCGGTGATCTGTGGGAAAAACCAGCAGAGACAACAAGGTAGGAGCGCCGTTATCTCTCCTTTACGGGCTCCTCTGGCCTCTTTAACGGACCCGGTGACGGTAACGGGTGAAGCTAGGCTCCCGGGACATTAGCCGACACGGGGAGAGCTAGCGACGGGGACGTCGTTTAACGGTAACATCGGTGCGCCCATTATCGGACACGCCTCTCAAACGGAGCGCTTCTTTCGTTTCTGTGCCTGAAATGTTTTAACTGCAGCGATGAAGACCAGATCCCGGAGTGTTTTAATCCGGTTTTAAATGCGTGTATGAAGATGAGTGACGTTAGCCTAGCTTTACACGCCCGCACATGTTTTTGGAATTTTTACAATAAACGTGTGTTGCGTGCGTTGCGTGATTTTAAAGTGTGCAGGCGTGTGAGGTGGTGGCGTTGGACCGCACCGCATTCGAGTCGCATTATAACCGGAAATGTACACTATTTGGACAAAACGCTAAGAATCAGCAGAACCTGGTCTGCGTCCGATAATGGAACCAGCAGACTGTGTGTGACAACGGTGTGGGTTACTGCGCGGTGCGGCGACCGTCCCTGTCACACGGTGAACTGACGCAGAGCACGTTTAACACAGCAGGCCGCTTTGACTTGTCTTCACGAGAGGTTTTGTTTTTGTTTCCGCGTGCTGTTAAAAGGCTGGACGTCGGTGGTAGGAAATTTAAAGTGAATCGAGCACAGTCGTGTCCGATAAAGGAACCCGGTGAGTTAAAGGGGAGGGGGGTTTAGCAGCTGTTCGGGCCTGTTTGTTGCAGTGCAGCCCTCTCCATCAGACCCGCCTGCAGACTCTGGTGTTCCTGTGGACTGTCTGTCTGTCTCCATCCTGCAGGTGGTCTTCAGCCAGTTTTATTAAATCTCTATTTGAAAGTAAAACCGAAAATTAAAGGTCCAGTGTGTAATATTTGGGAGGATCAAATTACAGAAATGCAATATAAAATCCATAACTGTGTTTTCAGTGATGTATAAAGACCTTACATAATGAACCGTTATGTTTTTATTACCTTAGAATGAGACATTTCTATCTACATACACCGCGGGTCCTCTTACATGGACATCATAATAGTAGCAGTAGTAGTCGTCTGGTTTGTTAGAATTAAGAAAAGAAGTGAAATTTGGACGAATGGAGGACCACACATATTATTTAGCACAAGAGCCGACAGAGCGTGTGGGCCACGTAGCTTCTCCTGCGCGCTTGCAAAGGGAGGGGGGAGCGGTGACTGAGCAGTTGGTTGCAATTCGCATCCCTCACCACTAGATGTCTCTAAAACTCAAACAGTGAAACTTTAAATTTGGGTTATTCCGACGCAGACCGACATATTGGTAAAGTGGACAAGACATAAACAAATATTATGTCCTGTAATTTCCATTCACCGTAATTTGAATTGAGAGCTCAGAGAATATATTAGAGAGAGATTTGAGTAAAAGCATTGTGTGTTTGGAGATCTTTAGTTCAGACTGACCTCAAACACCTTCCTGCAGCTCAGCGCCTTGAATGTCTTCTGCTGTGGATCAGGAGGCAGGGTGGGTCGTCTGTTAGGCTTTGTGTGGGACGGACTGCAGATAATCAGATGTGATTTGTGTGTCCAGTATTTAAGGGTCTGACTCTTCTGTGTGTTGTGGATTCTTCTCAGCTGAGCTGATGCACTTCCATCTCTCTGGATTAAACGTTTAGTGGTATGTCGGCTTGGTGACGACGTCCACTTCTTTTACACAGTCTTTGATCTGGACTGAGACCCTATCTGTAAAACATCCGATTGGAGTGACATCTCAAACCTCCTAACGTGGCTTGGATCTGATTTTCTAGACTCAATCTGGAAAAGACAGAAAATAGATTTTGGCTGGCTGTCTTTGGTGGTTTGATCCCAGGCTCATCGTGTCTTTGAGCAAGATACTGGACCCCAAGTTGCTCCAGCGCTGTTCTCTGTGGTCGTTAAGGTAGAACAGGGCTTGATCAGATCTGTGTCCAGCTACCTTAATCTCTGCGCGAATAAACATCTTCCAGTGTCTTGATGTTTAGCTCTGATGATCTTTTTTGTGGAGAGAGAGAGAGGTTCAAAGCAGTCAGTCACACAGGGAAGTGGACACGATTGAGGGACTGTCCCTGTCAGAAAGTTACATCAAATGTCGGACTCATGTGGTTCGGGAACTCCTGGATCCTGCAGGAGGAGCTGGGAGACGAGGGGATGGAGAGGGATGTCGGCACCACCTTGTTTAGGCATCAGAAAACAGATGGATTGCTTTGTAGTGGTTCATTATGAAGGGAAGCTAAGTAGAAAGAGTGAATAACTGCTTTTGTAATTAGCTGAAGTGGTTGCAGTCGTGTTGACGGTGGATTTTATTTGGATGGAACAGCCATTGATATTGACCTTGCTGTGAGACTATTTTGAGTGCAAACTATCCTTTCTTGAGCTTTAATGCAGCAAACACTTTTTAAACAAAATGATAAAAATAAATGAGCAGCTATACACCAGCCGCCCTGAGTGGTTCACAAAAGTTGTTTTTCTTTTTGCAAGCAAATCCTGTTTCAGTGGTTTTCTCCTGTTCCTCACTCATTTTGAAGTAAAATGGGGGCGTGGCCTGCTTTGGTAGTTTGATTAACTGCTCAAGCTCAGTACTGTGATTAGTGGTTTGCTGTGCATGCAGAGCCTGCTTGTTACTCACTAGCAACAAACTCCTTGTATCCAAGAACCCTTAAATTGAAGTAAATTATGCTATCAGAGTTCTCGTAGATTAGTCAACTTTTAGTTACTTTGCAGATTCAGATTAATAATACAATATATAGGCCTAATCAACAAATAAATGATGTAGTAGTATTATTATAGAATATGATAAACTTTATTGATCCTGGGGATTAGTGTAATCAAGTAATATAATATATGTATTCTGAAAGATGTAATTTTGCTTAATGAGTACTTTTACTTTTGGTTCTTTTGGTATATTTTGCTGCTAATTCTTTTACTTAAGTAACACTTTGAATGCAAGACTTTCACTCGATTAGTACTTAACTTTTCACTTAAGTATCAAGGTAGTTTATCATTACATAACACAAGGTTTATAGTCCCACACAGAACTTAGCAGATCATTAAATGTATTTTGGAATATGGTACCATATAAAATAAAACAATATGTATACATACATACAAGAAAATAGATGTGAATACTTCTTCCACCCCTGCCCTGGTGTTCACAGTGGCAGGGTAATGCCTCAGTGAATTATGGGCCGTCCGTCTTCAGAAACAGGCAGTTTATTTTCCTCTGGAGGCCTTTTAACGGCTTCACTCACAGCGTTTTAACACATCAAACAGCACGGCGAGCGTTTCACCAGCAGCACGTGCTCTCATTCACTCAGTTTGAAAGACCTATCAGAGGTCGATGCACACACTTTGTCAACTTCATACTAATACAGATTTTACCTGCAGGTTATTGTACAGTTTAAAAACAAGCCAGTGGAAAACTCACTGACTGTTTTGTTTTCTTAAATTTAATCAGTAACCTTTTTGACCAAAGCAGTCTCACCTCCTGGTCCATTTAGAATCTACAACCCGCACGACAAAGTGACCAACGCAAAGAAATGATCGAAAGCTCCTGAACAGCCATTCAGTGGCAGTGGTGGATGAAGTATTCCGATGCTTTACTTAAGTAAAAGTACTATTACCCCAAGTAAAAGTTCAGCATTAAAATGTTCCTTCAGTAAAAGTATGTGAAAATAAGCAGGAAAATGATTGTAGCTGATTCTTTTCATCCTGTATCAATCAGTAAAAATTCTGCCATCACGGTGACCCAGAGCCCAAAGTAAGTAGACCCGGGCACCCCGCTGTGGCTCCTGGGGCCCGCGGTGAATAACCGGCCAGAGTTTGAAATTAAAGGGAGTTGCGGCTACGGAGAAGTAAAATGAATGTATGTCTATGGGAGTGTTATTTGATATACGATAGCACCACCTAGAGGCGCCACCTTTAAACCGAATTGCACCAAATTTTTCAGGTGTCATCAGGGCCCCATGTGGAACAATTGACCCAAATTTGGGCTTTATACCTGGCGATTCAGCTCGATCCCCCGCACGCGTGGATAAAAGCTTTTTGATTTGAGCATCCGTATGCAGTAATGAAGTATGAAGTAACAATGATATGAAAGTGTGAAATTTTGGACCTTGCTTGTATTCCAATAGGCTTCCCAGATGCCTTGCATTCGCGGGTTCCCAAAGGCTTGGACCCCTAGTTAAAATTTGTGAAGGTTTATAGTTCCAAAGGAACTATACCCCGGAACTAGGAAGCTTTGGAGGAACTCACTGCTCACAGGAACTCCGTGTCTAAATGTAGTTCTGGGGTCTTTATTTTACCCCCCAAAAAGTCCCAAGGGGGGGGCGGGGGCTTGCCTTGCAGGGAATCTTTGGATGGGCGATAGAGGCTGCTGGCTTTAACTAGAGAATGTCGGCTGTTTTCTACGACTGCTCCTCTCTTTTCCACCGCTGTTTGTACCAATAAATCACAATCCGCAGTCAGAGAGCCACACGAGTCTCGCCGATGTTCGCCTGAAATCCAATGTCGGGATTAAATTTATTGCTCAGAAACAGCAGCCAACATGCAGCGGTGTGTTTACAGCTAACAGCTGATGAAGTTAAGCTAAATACTGGGTTTTATGAACTTGATGGCTTTATCCAGTTTGTTATTAAATGTGTAACGATCTTTACCGTGTGTCTCTTCATTATACTCCCACACAAAGAAGCTGTTTGAATGGTCAAGCAAGTCTATAGTTTTTACAGCTAGGCCTACAGCCTACGTCAGCTGCTTAATTTGCCTAATCTTCGCAGGTCTTTAGACCGTGGTGGAAACACACACAACAGTGGGCTGAAGGAACCTTTCAGTTCCTTGAAAAGAGATCCGGGGACTAAAAAGTTGAGTAAAATGTTTTTGCATGAAAACTTAAAACATCAAAATAGTTGCCAAGTAATTTTCAGTTCGCCTCAGCTGTATAAACATCTTAAAAAAAATAAA